TTTTTTTTTTTTTTTCTTTTTTTAATTTTAAACCAGGGATGTCTGTTGAAATAAAACATTCAGTCTGACGGACACTGCTCGCCCTAACCCCTCTCCTACTTTTTCGTGTGCTCTCCTTTTTCCATTCTGGATCTTTCTCCTGCATTTTCCTGTTCCTCGGTCTGACTGTACCTAGTGTAATGCACCCCCCGCCCCGACCCTCACAACCTGCCTCATGATTGCCTTGCTTTTCTCCCCTGGGCCCACCGTCTAAACTGGGTTCGTGGCCATTGAAGACTCTGGAGGCGTGCCTACGACTTCGTATGGGGCGGGGGCCTGTGGTCCCAGATCTGGAAAGTATCGCTGATCTCTGGTGTCTCTGGAGACTAGAGGAGGTCCTTTCTGTGACGTGAAAGAGTCGCTTCACATCTGTTTCGGTCCAGCAGGAGGTGAAGTGGTGAAATGTCCCTGGAAAGGACTCACGTTGACAACCAGTTGCCATTGGCCATGAACGGCTTGGAAGATTTGTGTGGAGCTTGGGGGCCAGGCAGGTCTCCTTGGGGACTTCTGGACCCCTAGCTTTTTGTTAGAGAGGGAGGAGTGGTTGGGGGAGGGAGGCGGCAGGGTCACAGACTTGGGTTGGCGGTTCTGCACTGGGATGCCACGTGCAGCAAGACCGGTGGCCTGATTCCTCCGAGGGGCAGGGCTGAGGCAGGGGCGGGAGACCCACACCTGTCCTGGGACCATGCGTCCTGCGGCCACTACCGGAGCGGGGTGCTGGGGGTGCCGGGGCTCCGGCCGCACTCGACTGCAGCGGCTTCCCGATACCAGGGCGTCGAGAAGAGCCCTGAAGGGAGAGGCCCTGGTGCCGGGCCGTTGGAGAAGCTCGCCGTTTGACAGTCCTGGTGACAGATGGGAAGGTGAAGGTTACGGCCAAGGGGTCATTTGGAGCGTGTGGCGGCGTGGGGACCCGGGCGTGAGAAGGAAGAGGCGGGAGGGAGGGTCTCCCCGAGCTCGCGGTCTTGCGTGTTGGGTAAGTTGAGGAGTCTGTTTCTCATTAAGTACGGCGGAGGGTTTCGTCACTTACAGGAAAACCACCCACTTATCTGAAATCTGACCTACTTGGGGCTGGAGCCAGACAGGGCTCCTTCATCCCACGGGGACACTGGGGCTACAGCTGCCCGTGGCGGTGCCTCCAGCCGTCTTCAGGAAAGAGCATCAACCCACTGGCACTCCGCTGCGGAGGCTGCGGGACCTGGGCCGAGGCCACTCGCCGGGGTATCTGAGGTGGTCACCTGGGTCGACGGGCCCCAAAATCTGAGATCCCGAGTCCAAAGCTTTGTCCTCTGTACCCGATGTGCTGCCTGCACATGCAGCCCAGCCCTCCTGGCCTGCCGCACCCCTGGGACCCTGACACGGGGGGCTGCGTCGTGACCGAGATGCGGGGGCTCTGGGCTGGGAGGCAGGATGTGGCCCTTAGGGAGGGTCCTGGTGTATTCTGGAAGTGGATGGATTTAGGCCTGTTGTCTGTAAGGCTCTTACCTCCCACCTCAGTTCTCTGCAGATAGTCTTGGGCCAGTTTTTAAATTTTTTATTACTTAAAACAAAATTTTTTAATGTTTATTTTAGAGAGGGAGAGAGAGAGAGACAGAGTGTGTGAGTGGGCAAGGGGTAGAGAGAAAGGGAGACACAGAATCCGAAGCAGGCTCCAGGCTCCCAGCTGTCAGCACAGAGCCTGATGCGGGGCTCGAACTCATGAACCCCGAGATCATGACCTGAGCCGAAGTCAGACGCTTAACTGACTGAACCACCCAGACGCCCCTATTATTTTTTTAATGTTTATTTATTTTGAGAGAGTGCAAGTGAGCGAGTGGGGGAGGGGCAGAGAGAGGGAGAGAGAATCCCAAGCAGGCTCCATACTGTCCATACAGAGCCCCACACAGGGCTCGAACTCATGAACCGTGAGATCATGAACGGAAATGAAGAGTTGGACGCTTAACCAACTGAGCCACCGAGGCGCCCCTTGGGCCACGTCTTTTAAAGCCACTTTTTAGTCCTACCACTGATGACCTTTTATTTG